AGACAGTGTCACCAGCAAAGCACCCCCACACCATCACACCACCTCCTCCATGCTTCACGGTGGGAACCACACATGCAGAGATCATCCGTTCACCTACTCTGCGTCTCACAAAGCCACGGTGGTTGTAACCAAAAATCTCAAATTTGGACTCAGACCAAAGGACAGATTTCCACCGTTCTAATGTCCATTGCTCGTGATTCTTGGCCCAAGCAAGTCTCTTCTTCTTATTGGTGTCCTTTAGTAGTGGTTTCTTTGCAGCAATTCGACTATGAAGGCCTGATTCATGCAGTCTCCTCTGAGCAGTTGATGTTGAGATCTGTCTGTTACTTGAACTCTGTGAAGCATTGATTTGGGCTGCAATCTGAGGTGCAGTTAATTGCCGATTTCTGAGGCTGGTAACTCTAATGAACTTATCCTCTGCAGCAGAGGTAACTCTGGGTCTTCCATTCCTGTGGCGGTCCTCATGAGAGCCAGTTTCATCATAGCTCTTGATGGTTTTTGCGACTACACTTGAAGAAACTTGAAATGTTCCGTATTGACTGACCTTCATGTCTTAAAGTAATGATGGACTGTTGTTTCTCTTTGCTTATTTGAGCTGTTCTTGCCATAATCTGGACTTGGTCTTTTACCAAATAGGGCTATCTTCTGTATACCAACCCTACCTTGTCACAACACAACTGATGGGCACAAACGCATTAAGAAGGAAAGAAATTCCACAAATTAACTTTTAACAAGGCACACCTGTTAATTGAAATGCATTCCAGGTGACTACCTTATGAAGCTGGTTGAGAGAATGCCAAGAGTGTCATCAAGGCAAACAGTGACTACTTTGAAGAATCTCAAATATAACATATATTTTGATTTGTTTAACACTTTTTTGGGTACTACATTACATTTTAGTCATTTAGCAGACGCTCTTATCCAGAGCAGCTTACAGGAGCAATTAGGGTTAAGTGCCTTGCTCAAGGGCACATCGACAGATTTTTCACCTAGTCAGCTCGGGGATTAGAACCAGCGGCCTTTCGGTTCTGGCACAACGCTCTTAACCACTAAGCTACCTGCCTCCCTCCATATGTGTTGTTTCATAGTTTTGATGTCTTCACTATTATTCTACAATGTAGAAAATAGTAATAATAAAGAAAAACTCTTCAATGAGTAGGTGTGTCCAAACTTTTGACTGGTACTGTACATGTACCTCAATTACCTCGTACCCCTGCACATCGACCCTTGTATGTAGCCAAGTTATCATTACTCATTGTGTATCTATAGTATTATTACAGAGTTAAACTTTTCATTATATCTCTATTTTCTTTCGCTCTGCATTGTTGGGAAGGGCCCGTAAATATTTCAATGTTAGTCCACACCTGTTGTTTACGAAGCATGTGACTAATAAATATTTGATTTGTTTGATACACTAAAAGTTGCGAGATTCAGAACAATGCTGAACAAGACCTACATAATATGCATGTGTGAAACACTGTCTGCAAATGCAGTTGATGGGAAGGTCGATTAGCAATCACAGCTAGGCACTAATGCTGAAGCTGTGGCTTGAAATGGCTGAGTGAAGTCAATACTTGGGGTGAGGCTAAGTGGTCCTCTGTAGCTCAGCTGGTAGAGCACGGCGCTTGTAACACCAGGGTAGTGGGTTCAATCCCCGGGACCACCCATACACCCAAAAAAAAAATATATGTATGCACGCATGACTGTAAGTTGCTTTGGATAAAAGTGTCTGCTAAATTGAATATTATTATAAGTCAATGATCTATGTTCTTCACTAAAGGAGTGTTGAAAGAGAAGGCTAACCAATATCTTATCTTGTTACTTTAACCACTGGACATACATTACATTTTCCTCACACTACCGCAAGATGGTAGTAGTTGTATAGTCAATGACCAGAAAGAAATTCCACAAATTCACTTTTAACAAGGCACACCTGTTAATTGAAATGCATTCCAGGTGACTACCTCATCAAGACAGTTCAAATTATGTATATACGCTACCGGTCAAAAGTTTTAGAACATCTACTCATTCAATTGTTTTTTTGTTTTTTAAAAACTATTTTCTACATTGTAGAATAATAGTGAAGACATCAAAACTATGAAATAACACATATGGAATCATGTAGTAACCAAAAAAGTGTTAAACAAATCAAAATATATTTGAGAATTGAGATTCTTCAAATAGCCACCCTTTGCCTTGATGACAGCTTTGCACACACTTGGCATTCTCTCAACCATCTTCACCTGGAATGCTTTCCCAACAGTCTTGAAGGAGTTCCCACATATGCTGAGTACTTGTTGGCTGCTTTTCCTTCACTCTGCGGTCCGACTCATCCCAAACCATCTCAATCCGGTTGAGGTCGGGGGATTGTGGAGGCCAGGTCATCTGATGCAGCACTCCATCATTCTCCTTCTTGGTCACATAGCCCTTACACAGCCTGGAGGTGTGTTGGGTCACTGTCCTGTTGAAAAACAAATGATAGTCCCACTAAGCCCAAACCAGATGGGATGGCGTATCGCTGCAGAATGCTGTGGCAGCCATGCTGGTTAAGTGTGCCTTGAATTCTAAATAAATCACAGACACTAAAGCACCTCCACACCATCACACCTCCTTCTCCATGCTTTATGGTGGGAAATACACATGCAGAGATCACCCGTTCACCCACACCGCATCTCACAAAGACACGGCAGTTGGAACCAAAAATCTCCAATTTGGACTCCAGACCAAAGGACAGATTTCCACCGGTCTAGTGTCCATTGCTCACGTTTCTTGGCCCAAGCAAGTCTCTTCTTCTTATTGGTGTCCTTTAGTAGGGGTTTCTTTGCAGCAATTCGACCATGAAGGCCTGATTCACACAGTCTCCTCTGAACAGTTGTTGTTGAGATGTGTCTGTTACTTGAACTCTGTGAAGCATTTATTTGGGCTGCAATTTCTGAGGCTGGTAACTCTAATGAACTTATCCTCCGCAGCAGAGGTAACTCTGGGTCTTCCATTCCTGTGAAGGTCCTCATGAGAGCCAGTTTCATCATAGCGCTTGATGGTTTTTGCGACTGCACTTGAAGAAACTTGAAGTGTTCCGTATTGACTGACCTTCACGTCTTCAAATAATGATGGACTGTTGTTTCTCTTTGCTTATTTGAGCTGTTCTTGCCATAATCTGGACTTGGTCTTTTACCAAATAGGGCTATCTTCTGTATACCAACCCCCTAACTTTTCACAACACAACTGATTGGCTCAAACGCATTAAGAAAGAAAGAAATTCCACAAATTAACTTTTAAGAAGGCACACCTGTTAATTGAAATGCATTCCAGGTGACTACCTCATGAAACTGATTGAGAGAATGCCAAGAATGTGCAAAGCTGTCATCAAGGCAAAGGGTGGCTACTTTGAAGAATCTCAAATATAAAATATATTTAGATTTGTTTAACATTTGTTTGGTTACTACATGATTCCATATGTGGTATGTCATAGTTTTGATGTCTTCACTATTATTCTACAATGTAGAAAATAGTTTTTTTTAAATGAAGAAAAACCATTGAATGAGTAGGTGTTCTAAAATTTTTGACCGGTAGTGTAGGCACATCTTAAGATACAAATACTCTTGTATTAATATTATGGGCATAGCCTCTGATTCCAATTATTTATATGATATCATCATCTTAAGATGCAATCAAAGCAGCTGTTTTGTCCCTGGTGGTGATAATCGCAATCAGAGAGGGTCTGAGCCCAGCGTGAACCTGCACCACAGGGACTGGCACATGAAAGGGCACAGAGCCTGGCAACCCAACACAACCCCCCCCCCCCCCCCCCCCCCCCCCAACTGTTTTTTTTGTCTGTACGTTTTATAAAGTGCAAGAGTAACGTAATAACATAGTAACTTCCCTAACAGTCTTCTGACATTTAAGTAATTTGGTTTTGAATACTGCCATTATAGCTTGTTCCTGTTGTCCCTGGAAAGATTCATTTATTTGACAGTAATGCGGTCATTTTAAACTCAATAAAAAAAATGGTTTCCTCTTGAAAATAATTGTATGAGAGGTGGTCAGGAAACCAAATGTGTTTAATTTAGGAAATGCGGTAATCTACTCTATGTATATCGACATTGCATGTGCTGCTAGATACAAGTTTGTCAATGTCAACCATTGTTTTAACAATTCATTTGACAAATGATAAGGGTTAGATGGATATGAATTCGTATTACAGTCCAGACTTTAAAATAAATGTTTACACATCGATCTGTTAATACTACTGACTACGTAACATGCACAAATGTGTAATGTTTATTCTACAGTATTTCCATTTTAATTACATAAACGATTAATCTGTGAGCTATGGTAGGAGTCAAATCAGCTATGGTAGGAATTACAGATACACATATTACCAAAATATCACATTTTCAATACCTGTTGGCCAAACCCGTTGTTTCATGGTTGACTGCAGATGGATGGAGAGCGGATCCACTCTCATTTACAGCCTGATAACCTCAGTTCACTTAGTGAGCACGGCACACAGCCTCTAAGACCAAAGTTCATCAAGCCTCATGCCAAACAACATGATCTAATGTGGTGGAAATTTCAGTGACTAAAGAGATGAGAGAGACAGTGTCCTATTTTGAAAAAAGATTGTAATTGATATTGTACTAATACATCATGCCTGGTGTTTCAAATCCATGTACATTTATTTCAGGTGGGCTTCTTCGTTTTGACAGAAAAGCCATTGTTACTTAGAGGCAATCTATATCAGTGGTGCCCATGCATAACAATCTGTAACCAGGCATAACAATTGAGAGTATATATCTTTATTGTCCTCATGAGGCTATACAAAGAGAATCAAATGAGCCAAAAAATTAGCAAATGGTATACAACACCAGCACAATTATATTTTAGTATACCGTAGGCCTAATGTGTTGTCTTAATTAGGCCTATTTTGTGTTTGTTTTGCATGTCTTTTAACTTAAGACGAAACTTAACTTAAAAGTTGGTAAATGAGATGACTTACCCACGGTTGTGAATACAGTACAGCAGAAGAACAAGGATCCATAGAATGTCCAAAGATCTGGACGTTGAAGCCATATGGACTTGAACCCCCCGTTGATTTCTTCCTTTAGTTTTTTCACCAAATGTTGTTCTTGTGAAGAATTGCTGGACAAATTCCCTGTAAATAAAATGCAATTATTTGAATGAAGGCAGCCGTAAACATTTTTTTAACACATTTACAACACATTAAAAAAAGAAGGTAAAAATCCTATTTTCACCCAATCTATAATAATAATAATAATAATAATAATAATAATAATAATAATAAACATAGATCTAGCTTTCTGGCCATTTACCTTACCTGGATAATTCTGAATTGTGCGCAACAGTTTACCCAAAAACTCATGATATTCCCCTTCTGTTCTGTACACACTCCCTCCCTCTATGTACCAGAATAGCACCGCTCCCAAAACAGCGTATCCGACGAGTGAAAGTATGAGAAAAGCGTGAGGAAACAGCTTCCATAGCTTTGAAGCACACTTTCTGGAATTCTCTATCGAACTTCGTGTTTTTCCCACTGCCACCGACATTTTACAGTCTCTGAAGAGCTATTGGAACTATTCTCTCTCCATGGCAAGGCTGTCAAGACGGTCCGACCGCGAGAAGCGCAGAATGAAATGGTCCCGCCATCCCCCACATTAAGCAAACACCAAATCGAAGTCCCCCAGGAGACAAGTGCTATTGACTTCATCTCTCAGGTAAGCTATTTTGAAACTCCACAAAAGAGGACATTTATTCGTTTTGTACTTGATTCCACATTAAAGCCTCCTAAACTGGATAATGCAATTGCCATTTTAATCAGTAATCACAATTTGATCTTGCCCCCTCGCCTTTTTGAGCATTGAGCGGCAGGTGTTGATGCCATCTATATTTAGCTAGCCCATGTGAATGCCAATGTTGTTTCAGAAGAACAACTGGAGCTTTTCAAATATCAGCCAGTAAAACGGGCAATTCCCTGCAAGGCACAGCGACAAAACTGCCTTAAAAACATCCTACAAATATTACAACAAACTTCTGCTGCCATGAATCACAATGGAAATCATTGGGTGAATTATGACCATTGCCTAAAACATTGCCTAAATAGGCCTACTGCTTTACTCAGTTGTGATATTACTTGTTTAGGTGTAGGATCTTCATTTGAGCCAGTTTGCTACAGCAGGAAAATAATCCTGCAGCAACAGAAAATGAATTATTATGTGGATTATAATTAAATAACTTTTTTGTAGGGTTGATGATACCAGATGAGGCTGGTGGGAGGAAATCAGTGGAATGGTACCAAACACATCTGTTTCATTGATTCCATTCCAGCCATTACAATCAGCCCCTATAGCTCCTCCCACCAGCCTCCTCTGGTTGATACATTTTGCATAAGGTAAAATCAAGTCTGAAATTTCAAAGTGGAAATTACAAACTTCAGAAGCCTTTTTAAACCTCAGATACACTACAAGTTTTACATTTCCTGCATTGCAGGAAAGTTCTGCAACAAGGTGATCAAATTAAGATCCTACTTCTGAACAAAGAGCCTTCTCTGAAGCAAGAAAGATACTCTAAATGTTTGAATTTAACATTTAATTTATGTCCTGTTTAATCCAACAAATCACGTTAAAATGTGCACAATGTCAGACGGTCCATTCAAAGTCTTTTGAGACTGTTGCCAAGATCCGAAAGAACTGCATGGATGGGTGTAAGTGTGACAGTGGCATTTGCTAAGGGAGCCAACTCAGGGAACATGTTTTAAGGTCTCAAGCAAGGGGTTTCATCATGTAATGAAACTAACCTACCAGAAGGTTGTCCAATTTTGGGAGAGTGGCTATTAAGAACCTTCTATGGGTAGAATCCTTTGTTGCAGCCCTATGCAGGGATGAGTGAGTGAGTATGGGTAGGAGCCAACAAAGGGTTTATTCTCAGATGAGTTTTTTTCTTATTCTTTACCCCAACTGCACCCCTTTCCTGCAGTCAAATGACCAAATCACCCTCTAGTGGCCTCATGGGTGGAAAGTTATTAATTGTTTTCATAATTTCATAATTAATAAACTACTATTTTGTATAAAATAAGAAAATCCGGTGTTTTTATGTCAAAGGGTTTTGTTATACTTTATTTCAGTCTTCTGTGATGTATATTAAGTGTAATATTGGAATGCAAACTAAAAAGGTAATCTGACATGGTACATCTGTCTTTTTTTAAAGCCCATAACCATGTGTGTGAGGTGTATACTTTTGTTTCAAAGTAGATTTGTTTAAGACTACCAAGAAACACTCTGTGTGACACTGATTTAGTCCACTGCAGTAAAAGGTTAAAGCAGACAGTTGTAAGAGAATTGTTAGGCCTAAGAAGAAGCCTAACATGGCCTAAGAGATAAGTGGACAAATTTGACCATTTGAGATCTCTGAGCCTGACCATATAGGGTACTCTCTAGGTGAATGCAAAACCATTAGAGTTTAGACTCCGTGGCACCACTTCTGCAAAACATCCTTCAGTGGGCGTACATGTAGGCCTACTGTAGATCTATAAATAATTCAGATGAGGAGTGGTCTTATTGTGGGACATCATACAACGGTCAACTGAATAATGATCAATTGATAGGATCACATACAGACAGTACTGTAGTCTGTGACATACTGTGTCACACTACGTCTACAATCGCAATTGATCAGTGGATAATTGATTCCGATCACCATAAAAGTGTTTCATTTGTATTCAACAATTAATGACTTCATTAAAGTGTGTATTGTTCCATAGCTTGAATACTCTTAACACCGATAGCTTGTCCCCCAACCATTATCAACGTCTGTTCAATATAAACCTTGCACTGTATGTTTTTTACATACTGTCTGAGCACAGCATAGTATGTGAGTAGCAAACATGGAGAAAGCTACATGAGCTTCTACCATATAAAACAACCTATTGTCTTAACAGCTGATGTCTGGTCAATGTTAACTTTGTAAATATTTAGCTGAAATTAAGGCTGGTATAAACAGAGATCAGTGAGTTTCAGAATCACAAGGCTCTGATAGGTGGCTTAACGGCAAAGTAAGCCGGCATTCGGGCTGCTCACATTCTTATGTCAGGAGCAGACATATACTCTCAGACAAACCTTTTATTAGTGAAGTAACTCAGCTGTTGTTTGAATTAGGTGACATGTTTCTTGATGTTGGATGATTGCAATAGCGTCAGCTTCTAGCCTGGTGGGTCCACAGTATTTTAAACTCTTTGTTCGTTGCCATTGTTATCATACTTGGGTAGAACGTGTCAGGAATTGATCAAATGAGGTATACATTTGTATCAATCCGTTTATTTAGGTTATTTATTTTTCCATCCTCTGGACCTTGACTGAAGTATCAGCCATTGTGATGGGTGAGTTGAAGGAGTCAGGCGCAGGAGGGTAATCACAGAATAACAGGATTTATTCCGGAAAACAGATTTACGCAGTAATGCGTCAAAACAGTCCAGTGAGCAAAACAGGCGCACTGGAACCAACAAGGCACACAGGGTTTCCCCTGCAATACAAAATACAAGGAGCTCCACCGAGCTTCACTATCCTCACAATAAACAATCACACACAAAGACAAGGGGGCAGAGGGAACACTTATACAGGTACTGATGAGGGGATATGAACCAGGTGTGTGTAATGAACAAGACAAAACCAATGGAATGATGAAATGAGGAGCGGCATTGGCTAGAAGGCTGGTGACGACGAACGCCGAAGCCTGCCCGAACAAGGAGAGGAGGCAGCTTCGGAGGGAGTCGTAACAGTACCCCCACCTTGACGCGCAGCTCCAGCAGTGCACTCGTGAAGCTCGGTGTAACTTCCGGGCAGGTGCCTTCCAGGACGTCCTCTAGCAGCCAGCAGGTTGTCCAACCGGATGGCCATGTCCACCAGTTGATTGGAACAACATGGTGTCCCGGCAGGCTAGCTCCCTTCGGACGTCCTCTCGTAGATGGCACCGGAAGTGGTCGATGAGGGCCCGCTCTTTCCACCCAGAACCAGCCGCTAGAAAACTCCAGGGCGAAGTCCTGCGTGGTCCTCGTCCCCTGCCTCAGGTGGACCAGACGCTCGCCCGCCTCTCTACCTTCAGGTGGGTGATCGAAGACGGCCCGAAAGAGGCGAGTGAACTCCCCGTAGTTGGCTCCTCCTTCACTCCAGACCGCGTTGGCCCACTCCAGGGCTTTCCCCGAGAGGCAGGAGACGAGGGCGGACACCTTCTCCCGCTCTGATGGAGCCGGGCTGATGTTCGAATAGTACAACTCCAGTTGTAGGAGGAATCCCTGGCAGAGAGCAGCTGTCCCGTCGAAATCCCGTGGTCGGGATATATGGATCCCTCTGGGTGCTGGGGTGTGGGTGTCTGGATCCGGTCAGCCAGCTGGTCCCGAAAGATCGGGTCCTCTCCTCTCCAGGCGTTGGACGACATGGAGAACCCGATCCATCGCTTCTCCCAAGCTGGCTAGCATCGTTGAATGCTCCCGGACCGATGCCACGACTCCAGGCATGTGCTCCTCTCCTGCTGACTCCATGGCGGGTGTGTGATTCTGTGATGGGTGAGTTGAAGGAGTCAGACGCAGGAGGGTAAATCACAGAATAACAGGATTTATTCCGGAAAACAGAGTTACGCAGTAATGCGTCAAAACAGTCGCACTGGAACCAACAAGGCACACAGGGAAAATAACCCGGCAATACAAAATACAAGGAGCTCCACCGAGCTTCACTATCCTCACAATAAACAATCACACACAAAGACAAGGGGGCAGAGGGAACACTTATACAGGTACTGATGAGGGGATATGAACCAGGTGTGTGTAATGAAAAAGACAAAACCAATGGAATGATGAAATGAGGAGCGGCAGCGGCTAGAAGGCCGGCGATGACGAACACCGAAGCCTGCCCGAACAAGGAGAGGAGGCAGTTTCGGAGGGAGTCGTGACAGCCATGTCACAAGCGTAGGCCATCATGTGTTCTCACATCACCAGAGAACAGAATTTTACCACCTGCACCACTTTGAAGGAATTAACCTCTATAAAGTTAGGTCAATAGCAAAAGCATTTGAAAATGCTGAAAGTAAGTTCATATACATTTTCCATCAAGTCTATAGTTGCATTATGATGAGTTATGAACGATTTCAATTCAATCCTTTAGATATAATGCTGGATGCTGGACCCAGTGCCATTAACACAATCTAATTCCCATATTATGAGTCTCAAGACAGAGCTCGGATCGTGAAGTTATTTCCAATAAGCCTGCTCTCTGTCTTTACCACCAAATGCATAATGTTTAGAAGTCTCATTTGCTCTGGGACAGATGCCAGGCTTTCTATCATTTTGAAAGACGCCTGTGTTAAAGAGCCACTTTGTAAACATTTATTTTTCCTGTGAGTGATTCTCTGGTGTGACATTAATTTGATAGTGTTTTGAAGCAACAGGAAAAAGTCTCTGCACACTTCCAGTCAGATGCAAATGTATTTCAATTATAGGTGAGCTTTCAGTCAGAGCATATCTCCACAAACAATAGTGGGACAGGTAAGGCCACAGTGTTTTGAAGTCAAATGCATCTTTATCTTGCAGGTTCCTAACTTCCTACTACTTGCAGGTTCCTACTTCTAATTGCTCATTCCAATGTCTAATAAAGGCACTTACATAATAAAAAACGCCTTGTAGGACTAAATTATATTTCATAATCTACATATAATATATCTAATTCCATTTAATATTAAGGTTCATAGACGCACTATTTTAGTAAGAGGCTCAGTCGAGACGGATTTAGGCTGGTAGCTAGTCAGCCAGTCACAATCAGTCCCCCAAAATGTAACTTTTTTAAAGATATAGTTTACAACAACCAAGACGCTAGAGAGATGAGCTGATACTGGCAATCAAAGTCTAGCTTTATAATTGCATATATCTAAATCAGAGGTGTACGCCTTGAGTATCTGAAAGCATTAATGTGTGTGTGCAATTAGCCAATCATTACTAACTTATGAAATAGCCATTCAAAGAGTTACTCTACAAACGAGGAATGCATTTACTCAAATCAACTAATAGATTTATTAGTCACGAATGAATTAACTTTCAAACAATAACAGTATACATTGAAGACATGGTACATAATAAAGCAGAGTCAATTACTTTCAAGAAATATGATTTAACATGGTTACATGTGTCTCCAGAATAACCTCTAAGAGAGAAAATACTATGTGTGTCTAAACACACAGGAGTTCTGTGCTAAAATGAAGTCAACAAGATACAATTAATAATATGAAACATACTGTAAGGTTCGTAAAGGTAAAATGTAAAAAAAAGACAGTCTAGAAAAACAACACACCGCGTCTATAGCCTACGGAGACTAGGAGCTTGGAAACAAGAACACAAAGAAATAACAAAATGCATTCTCCTCTTTAAACCTTTAGAAACAGGGCTCAGGACGTCCCACCAAGAAATTGCAGTTAGAGTTGCTGCTCTAAATGGAATGAGTGTGATCTGATCTGTATGCATGTTGTTCTCTCTCTTCCTCCATGGAGGGGCCCCTGTCAATGATATGAGTGTTGCTCATGGTGGTCTGATTCTTCCACAGGCACCTTCCTTTCGAGGACCTTCCCGAGAGCCTGGAGGATCTTCTCCTTGTTGTTCTGGATGTTGAATGAGGTAAGGTCTGTCAGTGCCCGGAAGTCCTTTGCTGTGTAGGTCAGATGTTTGGTGTGGTAGGGGGAGCTGCTTGAGCTAATGCCAACATCCCCTGCCTTCATCTCCTCCTCACCCTCACGTGCCACACCTTCAGAATGAGAACATAACAATACTGTCAGCCTTAAACATGAAACAAACAAACATCAAACTATAGTTTGACCTATAATATCAACAAAGTGCAATCCAATCCAGTCCAATACAATACAATACAATACAAAGGTTTAGGCCAATGATCTTTGGCCCTGATCTCTAACGCACACAACATCGACAATTTTCTGTTGACAGAATATTGATTTGATTGACAGGCACAGGGCGAATGGCATATTGACAGCTTGAGCCATTAGCTAGCTACAGTAGCTCATTGACTACCTCTGCTTCTTTTACAATTATGATGATCTTAACAGTGCTTACCAGGGGCCTTGAACTTTTTGAATGAGATGTTGACTAAAGGGAAATGAAGGACTATGGGAGCCTTGGGGTTTTCCTCATCCTCGAAGACGTAGAGCTCTTTTAGGGGCTGTCCCTCCAGGCTGCTGAAGTCAATGCGGGGGAAGGGGATGCTGTGGTCTTTGCAGTAAACCTCAGTCCTCTTTAGGACCTGGTAGATAGATTAAAGAGATGTCAGTCAGACAATTCAAACACTGTGTATGGACATTACACAAGTCATATGCACCTTCTGGCCTAGTGTGTGTGCAAATCTGTGCGAAATGTGGATCTAGCAAATTAAGCAAACTGCTCTGTTAATCTTTTCACACAAGTTCACTCTTGTATTATTCATAAATTCAACCCATTTACATTGAATTTGTCCTTGCACCAAGAATAGTTGAGGGACATGATGACATCAACACCCCTCTCTGGTCTCAAGACAGGTGGACAGCCTGTGTTGATGGAGAACCCAGCGTCCGCCAGGTGGAGTGTGGAGTCAGCTGGAGTCAGTCTGTTGGGGAAGGCATCTGGATGCATATCTGCAGAAAGATTGGGAGAAAAACTTCACAAACATAATCTGAATCTACATACATGAATAATACAATGCATAAATAGACTGCTGGTGCCACACACACTGTATAACAGTGTTTGAGTAAATCCATGTTGAATTTGGTTTAAGAGCAATAGTTCGGGGGGGGGTTCATTCATGGTACCTTTCCACGATGTAAAGTTGCTGTTGACATTGTAGTTCCGGTGCAGGAAGAACCCACGCATGAAGTTGTAGATCTGACTGATGACTGGCCGGCTGGTAAAGAAGCTGGTCAGCGCTGAGGCAGTGTTAGTGACAGGCTTGAAATGGTAGGTGTCCAGGGTGGTTGGTTCATTGTCAATTTCTTTAGAGGAAGAAGTTGAGTGGTGACAAACAACTAAAATATTGGCACACAGACTTTATTGTGAGTTTGGCTGTAGAGCAGTATACATCGGCTACAACAGTGAAATAAATAACTGAGACACTTAACATAGAGCTCCAGTCAGTTTTAGAATGGGTAACTAGCAATAGGCTGGTGCTAAATATCACAAAAACTAAAATAATAATTTTTTGGACAAATCACGCGCTCAACGATATACCTCGTTTAGATCTATTATTGAATAATGTGACTATTGAGCAAATTGAGGAGACTAAACTGCTGGGTGTAACCCTAAATAGCATGGTCAAAACAGACTCAATGGTTGCTAAAATGGGAAGAGGTCTGTCCATGATAGGGCGTTGCTCTGCCTTCTTGACATCTCAGTCGACCAGACAGGTCCTACAGGCCCTAGTTTTTATCTCACCTGGATTACTGCCCAGCTGTGTTGTCATGAGCGGCAAAGAAGGACATAGGTAAATTGCAGTTGGTCCAGAACAAAGCAGCACGTATCGCACTTAGATGTACACAGAGGGAAAGTGTCAGTAACATGCATGTCAGTCTCTCCTGGCTCAAAGTTGAGGAGAGATTGACTGCATCACTATTGGTCTTTGTGCGAGGTGTTGATGTGTTGAAGGTACCGAACTGTTCAAGCAGTTGGCACACAGTTCGGACACTCATCGTTACAACAAAAGACATGCAACCAGAGGTCTCTTCATAGTCCCCAGATCCAGAACAGAGGCTGGGAAATGCACAGTATTAAATAAAGCCATGACTACATGGAACTCTCTGCCACCCCAGGTAACTCACACTAGCAATAATACCAGTTTAAAAAAACAGATAAAAGACACCTTACTGCACAAAGGGGACTGTGAAGAGACACAGCCATTTTATATATCTTGTATTGTAATTTGCACTGTACTATGTATTAGACCTAGATATTGTGTGTATGTACTGATATATGTAGGCTGTGTGACGTTTTAAATGTAGGTATTTCAGTCCTTGACTAATAATGTTCTGTACTATGTATTATGTCATGTGGACCCCAGGAAGAGTAGCTGATACTTATGCAGCGGTTAATGGGGATCCTAATAAATACAAAATACCAAATACCAAATATACATGTATGAGTTAGAGACCTATTTTGTTGACATCTTCCCCCAGCCATGGGCTCCAGGATGGTTGACATCCAGTTGCAAAGCCCCAAAGCTGGGTCAGGTTAAGAGAGAAGACACTGCTCCAAAGACCTGTGAACACATAGGCAAAGGTGCCCACACTGTAGAAAGTATTGCATTTACATTGAAATCCATAGATCATTAGGGGCAGGTATATTGTGACACATCTCTGTCTCTCTCACTCTCTGAAACGCATGCACACACACAAATAAGTGGTCTCTCACCAAGCAGATAGGTGATACGTATCTCTGGATGTTTCTTGACCAGGTGACCAAGGTAGAATTCACTCCCAAAGTCCTCCGCATGGACATAGGCCCCATACTTTGGGATGCCCACCTCATATGGTGTGAACTCACACCACTCTAAAATGATAAGAATAGGAAGATAAACAAATAGTTCAGTTATTATTAAATGTATAGGTCATTTATACTCCAACTGCTATTTTAAATTGGCTGTATGACATTTTATCTATGTGTCGCCTCCCACTACAAAAACGTTTTTAGTATTATTATTTATTATATCAGCTGGATACATAAGGATATGTAAATAACACAAGTTAACACCATCAAAATGCTGTTACAATATCCCTTCTTTCAACATGTGGACCATTTGGGTTGCATTAAAATACATATCAAACATAAGTTGCTAGAACAGCTTTACCAAACTCTGTTGTGGCGCCTTTCACTCCGTCCTTCAGGTTGACAGCAGTACATATGGGTAAAGGGTTCTGGCCCTCTGATACTGCCTTCTGCTGGTCAGACAGGGTACTGGTGTTCTTCTACAAACCCCACAGGAGAAATCAATGATTTATACAGTATATACACTACGTGACTAATGGGGGGCGCTGTGTTGAAGCCACCGTGCCTCCATCTTGGCACTCCCCCAACATTGTAAAACATATTTTGGAAGCTATAGAAATGCATTTATTAATGTCTACATTAGTTTTTGCCACTTTTATTCTATTTGATAAAAAGGGTTTTTTGGATCCTAGATGCTGGTTGGTTGATAGCAGGGAGTTATAGCATCACAATCCCTGCATTCCATGGGTAGTGACAGCCAGGCTGAAGTGGCTGACTAGAGCACAGAGCAAGGCTTGTTGTGACATCAGAGAGACCCGCTGATAAACACTCCCAGACCCACAGTGTGGAGAGAGAGACTTGACTAAGAAAGCAGGTTGCCAGCCAACCCTGCTCCAGTCTTTGTGATTTGGTGGCTCATTTCTTTAGCGGGCTTAACAAATAGTCATGCCAGTCACGCTTTATTTTGACAGGATTGATTTACCCCCTTCACCCATGTTTCTGGATCTGCTCGATCCTATAGTCATATTGTGTTCCGTGCCTACCAGCAATCATCCTGCTATTTGATTAGACTCCTTTAATCAGAATAAGCTCTGGTAAGCTCTAGCAATCAGAATAAGCTGAAGACAGAGGTTGGTTCTTGGCTGTTAAATCAAATCAAATCAAATTTTATTGGCCACATGCGCCGACTACAACAGGTGCAGACATTACAGTGAAATGCTTACTTACAGCCCTTAACCAACAGTGCATTTATTTAAAAAAATAAAACAACAACAAAAAAAGTGTTGAGAAAAAAAGAGCAGAAGTAAAATAAAATAACAGTAGGGAGGCTATATATACAGGGGGGTACCGGTGCAGAGTCAATGTGCGGGGGCACCGGCTAGTTGAGGTAGTTGAAGTAATATGTACATGTGGGTAGACCTAAAGTGACTATGCATAAATAATTAACAGAGTAGCAGCAGCGTAAAAGGATGGGGTGGGGGGGCAGTGCAAATAGTCCGGGTAGCCATGATTAGCTGTTCAGGAGTCTTATGGCTTGGGGGTAGAAGCTGTTGAGAAGTCTTTTGGACCTAGACTTGGCACTCCGGTACCGCTTGCCGTGCGGTAGCAGAGAGAACAGTCTATGACTAGGGTGGCTGGAGTCTTTGACAATTTTGAGGGCCTTCCTCTGACACCGCCTGGTATAGAGGTCCTGGATGGCAGGAAGCTTGGCCCCAGTGATGTACTGGGCCGTACGCACTACCCTCTGTAGTGCCTTGCGGTCGGAGGCCAAGCAGTTGCCATACCAGGCGGTGATGCAACCAGTCAGGATGCTCTCGATGGTGCAGCTGAGGATCTGAGGACCCATGCCAAATCTTTTCAGTCTCCTGAGAGGGAATAGGCTTTGTCGTGCCCTCTTCATGACTGTCTTGGTGTGTTTGGACCATGATAGTTTGTTGGTGATGTGGACACCAAGGAACTTGAAGCTCTCAACCTGTTCCACTACAGCCCCGTCGATGAGAATGGGGGCGTGCTCAGTCCTCTTTTTTTTCCTGTAGTCCACAATCATCTCCTTTGTCTTGGTCACGTTGAGGGAGAGGTTGTTATCCTGGCACCACACGGCCAGGTCTCTGACCTCCTCCCTATAGGCTGTCTCATCGTTGTCTGTGATCAGGCCTACCACTGTTGTGTCGTCGGCAAACTTAATGATGGTGTTGGAGTCGTGCCTGGCCATGCAGTCATGGGTGAACAGGGAGTACAGGAGGGGACTGAGCACGCACCCCTGAGGGGCCCCCGTGTTGAGGATCAGTGTGGCAGATGTGTTGTTACCTACCCTTACCACCTGGGGGCGGCCCGTCAGGAAGTCCAGGATCCAGTTGCAGAGGGAGGTGTTTAGTCCCAGGATCCTTAGCTTAGTGATGAGCTTTGAGGGCACTATGGTGTTGAATGCTGAGCTGTAGTCAATGAATAGCATTCTCACGTAGGTGTTCCTCTTGTCCAGGTGGGAAAGGGCGGTGTGGAGTGCAATAGAGATTGCATAATCTGTGGATCTGTTGGGGCGGTATGCAAATTGGAGTGGGTCTAGGGTTTCTGGGATAATGCTGTTGATGTGAGCCATGACCAGCCTTTCAAAGCACTTCATGGCTACAGACGTCAGTGCTACGGGTCGGTAGTCATTTAAACAGGTTATCTTAGAGTCCTTGGGCACGGGGACTATGGTGGTCTGCTTGAAACATGTTGGTATTACAGACTCAGTCAGGGACATGTTGAAAATGTCAGTGAAGACACTTGCCAGTTGGTCAGCACATGCTCGGAGTACACGTCCTGGTAATCCGTCTGGCCCTGCGGCCTTGTGAATGTTGACCTGCTTAAAAGTCTTACTCACATCGGCTACGGAGAGCGTGATCACATAGTCATCCGGAACAGCTGGTGCTCTCATGCATGCTTCAGTGTTGCTTGCCTCGAAGCGAGCATAGAAGTGGTTTAGCTCGTCTGGAAGTCTTGTGTCACTGGGCAGCTCGCGGCTGTGCTTCCCTTTGTAGTCTGTAATAGTTTTCAAGCCCTGCCACATCCGACGAGCGTCAGAGCCAGTGTAGTACGATTCAATCTTAGTCCTGTTAGGGTTCTCACCAATGATTTATATATAAACTAGATGACTTACAGGGGGCGCTGTGTTGACGCCCCTGCGCCTCCATCTTGGCACTCCACCACGTTGTAAAAAAGTATTTTGGAAGCTATATAAATGCATACAAATGCATTTATTAATGTCTACATTTGTTTTTACCACGTTTATTCTATTACAGACACCTTAATGCATACTTATAAATTATATTATCCAAAATTCGCAAAACATACATTATGTAAAGCATCATAACTCAGTGTGAAAGACATAATAGACCCTAATTGTGTCTGTAGAGAAAACATCCCATAGTTTCAATGGAATAAAAGGCACTATGAATACAGGCGACAAAACCATTTCTGCGGAACTCCTTCCTATTGCAGTGTGATTAGTACAGTGTGTATTGTAAAGTATGAGTGTACAGTAGGCTGCTGTACCTTCCCATGCAGGCAGTGCTCAACGACCAGACCCCACATGTCTATGAGTGACACCATATGTCCCTCCTTCTCTTTCTCTGCCATCTGGTGTCTGTAGTACTGCAGCTTCTCAGGGGTGAAGGCACTGAGGAAACTCTTGGTGATCTCCCCCTCCAAAGCCGAGATGGACTCATCCATATCACGCTGTGACCAATCTGCTTCCTGATACAGGGCGGCTAAGGCCCTGTTGAACAGGAATGTGTTATGATGTCACATAAGCAGGGGTATCAGTAGTATACAGTTGAAGTCGGAAGTTTACATACACCTTAGCCAAATACATTTAAACTCAGTTTTTCACGATTCCTGACTTTTAATCCTAATAAAAATTCCCTGTGTTAGGTCAGTTAGGATCACCACTTTATTTTAAGAATGTGAAATGTCAGAATAATAGTAGAGAGAATTATTTATTTAAGCTTGTATTTCTTTCATCACATTCCCAGTGGGTCAGAAGTTTACATACACTTAATTAGTATTTGGTAGAATTGCCTTTAAATTGTTTAACTTGGGTCAAATGTTTCGGGTAGCCTTCCACAAGCTTCCCACTATGAGTTGGGTGAATTTTGGCCCATTCCTCCTGACAGAGCTGGTGTAACTGAGTCAGGTTTGTAGGCCTCCTAGCTTGCACACGGTTTTTCAGTTCTGCCCTCAAATGTTCTACAGGATTGCGGTCAGGGCTTTGTGATGGCCACTCCAACACCTTGACGTTGTTGTCCTTACACCTTGACGTTGTTGTTCTGGGATTGATTTGCACTTTTCGCACCAAAGTACGTTAATCTCTAGGAGACAGAATGCATCTCCTTCCTGAGCGGTATGACGGCTGTGTGGTCCCATGGTGTTTATACTTGCGTACTATTGTTTGTACAGATGAACGTGGTACCTTCAGGCATTTGGAAATTGCTCCCAAGAATGAACCAGACTTGTGGAGGTCTACAATTATTTTTCTGAGGTCTTGGCTGATTTCTTTAGATTTTCCCATGATGTCAAGCAAAGAGGCACTGAGTTTGAAGGTAGGCCTTGAAATACATCCACAGGTACACCTCCATTTGACTCAAATTATGTCAATTAGCCTAACAGAAGCTTCTAAAGCCATGACATCATTTTCTGGAATTTTCCAAGCTGTTTAAAGGCACAGTCAACTTAGTGTATGTAAACTTCTGACCCACTGGAATTGTGATACAGTGAATTATAAATGAAATAATCTGTCTGTAAACAATTGTTGGACAAATGACTTGTGTCATGCACAAAGTAGATGTCCTAACCGACTTGCCAAAACTATAGTTTGTTAACAAGAAATTTGTGGAGTGGTTGAAAAAACGAGTTTTAATGACTCCAACCAAAGTGTATGTAAACTTCCGACTTCAACTGTAAACTTAAGTAAGTGAAGACAGGCTAAAGTACTGTTGGGATTACATAGTAAAAAGACCTGTGAGCCAAAACTGTCTGAGCTCATAAGGAAATTCAAAGTGACAAAATGTTGTTTATATGTTAGTTTTTGTTTACACCCATTCAGTTTATAGGATACTGCAGATTTAATTGCAATGGAGAGAAATGCCATGCTCACCATGTGGAGCCTGACACACCAGTGATGTAGCTCACAGCGTCCAGTAGTCCCAGTCTCTGCAGCCCCTTCAGACTGCCATACAGGCCGGTCATTGCTCTGGTCCCTCCCCCTGAGCTAACCACAGCTATAACAGGCACCTGGGGGAAGAAAGACAAACAACATCTCTGGTTGGATCTTCCATCTGTCAGTCAACCCGTTTTAACACATTCTGTTGAGACTTGTTTCGTAATGACAGTGGATGACATCAAGACCTCTGCAATCCGCCCTGGCATGCTATCAATTAACTTCTGGGCCACATCCTGACTGATGGGTTTGTCAGAATTTGTGCGTTTTTGTTTGTCCACCCGCCTCTTGAGCATCGAACACAAGTTCTCAATGGGATTAAGGTCTAGGGAGTTTCCTGGCCATGGACCCAAAATGTCGATGTTTTGTTCCCCGAGCCACTTAGTTATCACTTTTTCCTTATGGCAAGGTGCTCCATCATGCTGGAAAAGGCATTGGTCATCACCAAACTGTTCTTGGATGGTTGGAAGAAGTTGCTCTCGGAGAATGTGTTGGTACCATTCTTTATTCATGGCTGTGTTCTTAGGCAAAATTATGAGTGAGCCCACTCCCTTGGCTGAGAAGCAACCCCACACATGAATGGTCTCAGGATGCTTTACTGTTGGCATGACACAGGACTGATGGTAGCGCTCACCTTGTCTTCTCCAGACAAGCTTTTTTCCGGATGCCCCAAACAATCGGAAAGGGGATTCATCAGAGAAAATTACTTTACCCCAGTCCTCAGCAGTCCAATCCCTGTACCTTTTGCAGAATATCAGTCTGTCCCTGATGTTTTTCCTGGAGAGAAGTGGCTTCTTTGCTGCCCTTCTTGACACCAGACCATCCTCCAAAAGTCTTCGCCTCACCTGCCTGCTGCCATTCCTGAGCAAGCTCTGCACTGGTGGTGCCCCGATCCCGCAGCTGAATCAACTTTAAGAGACGGTCTTGGTGCTTGCTGGACTTTCTTGGGCGCCCTGACGCCTTCTTCACAACAATTGAACCTCTCTCCTTGAAGTTCTTGATGATCCGATAAATGGTTGATTTAGGTGCAATCTTACTAGCAGCAATATCCTTGCCTGTGAAGCCCTGTTTGTGCAAAGCAATGATGACGGCACGTGTTTCCTTGCAGGTAACCATGGTTAACAGAGGAAGAACAATGATTTCAAGCACCACCCTCCTTTTAAAGCTTCCAGTCTGTTATTCTAACTCACTCAGCATGACAGAGTGATCTCCAGCCTTGTCCTCGTCAACACTCTCACCTGTGTTAACGAGAGAATCACTGACATGATGGCAGCTGGTCCTTTTGTGGCAGGGCTGAAATGCAGTGGAAATGTTTTTTGGGGATTAAGTTCATTTTCATGGCAAAGAGGGACTTTGCAATTAATTGCAATTCATCTGATCACTCTTCATGACATTCTGGAGTATATGCAAATTGCCATCATCAAAACTGAGGCAGCAGACTTTGTGAAAATTAGTATTTGTGTCATTCTCAAAACTTTTGACCACGACTGTACACACCACAGTAGAAATTAACACTTTCCCCACAACAATGAGACTGAAAAAATACAAACATATTTGGTCAGCATCAATATTCAGTCTCCATTAGTGTTGAAATTATGGATGATAAGCAGCAATTAGTGCAGAGTGTGTAAATTAGTGCATAAAAACCATCACCTAGTACCTTTTTAGGGTCAGGGGGAGAGCTGAGGCCCAACTCCTTTTGTAAGGCCTGACCCACTAGCACCTTTCTCTTCTTCAGGAATTCTTTTTCCTCTGGAGGGACGTCAAAATCAAGACGCACCTCAAATTCAATGTCTGGGCTGTGGATTTACAGGGGCCATACAATACACCCACGCACACACACACACAGACACACACACACACACACACACACACACACACACACGCGCACACGCACACGCACACGCACACACACACACACACATCTAACACATTAATAACAACTAAATATGCCATGTGTTTGCATACTTCTGAATGAAATGAAGAGTATATTTCCAAAACGATATATCTACCAATTTTTCACATTTGTGTTTTTTCATCAGAAATGATTGCTTATGGGTACCTTCATGTGTGTGTAAAATATTACTGTTCTCAGATATTTTATTCATAGATTTTAGATGTGTATGAACATTTAGTTTTTTTGCAAAACGCTACACGTACATGCATTGTTTAGCTGGAATGGAAGGTTTGCATCCTGTATATTTATTTGACTGTGATATGTGGTTATCTCACCTAGCTATCTTAATGTCAATGCACTTACTGTAAGTCGCTCTGGATAAGAAAATCTGCTAAATGACTAAAATGTAAAAGTTTTACATACAGATCTCATATTACTGTATGAAATTATTATTATACATATATATACAGTTGAAGTCGGAAGTTTACATACACCTTAGCGAAATACATTTAAACTCAGTTTTTCACAATTCCTGACATTTAATCCTAGTAAATATTCCCTGTTTTAGGTCAGTTAGGATCACCACTTTATTTTAAGAATGTGAAATGTCAGAATAATAGTATAGAGAATGATTTATTTCAGCTTTTATTTCTTTCATCACATTCCCAGTGGGTCAGAAGTTTACATACACTCAATTAGTATTTGGTAGCATTGCCTTTAAATTGTTTAACTTGGGTCAAACGTTTCGGGTAGCCTTCCACAAGCTTCCCACAATAAGTTGGGTGAATTTTGGCCCATTCCTCCTGACAGAGCTGGTGTAACTGAGTCAGGTTTGTAGGCCTCCTTGCTTGCACACGCTTTTTCAGTTCTGCCCATAAATGTTCTATAGGATTGCGGTCAGGGCTTTGTGATGGCCACTCCAATACCTTGACTTTGTTGTCCTTAAGCATTGTGCCACAACTTTGGAAGTATGCTTGGGGTCATTGTCCATTTAGAAGACCCATTTGCGACCAAACTTTAACTTCCTGACTGATGTCTTGAGATGTTGCTTCCATATATCCACATAATTTTCCTTCCTCATGATGCCATCTATTTTGTGAAGTGCACCAGACCCTCCTGCAGCAAAGCACCACCACAGCATGATGCTGCCACCCCCGTGCTTCACGGTTGGGATGGTGTTCTTCGACTTGCAAGCGTCCCCCTTTTTCCTCCAAACATAACGATGGTCATTATGGCCAAACAGTTCTATTTATGTTTCATCAGACCAGAGGACATTTCTCCAAAAAGTACGATCTTTGTCCCCATGTGCAGTTGCAAACCGTAGTCTGGCTTTTTTATGGCGGTTTTGGAGCAGTGGCTTCTTCCTTGCTGAGCGGCCTTTCAGGTTATGTTGATATAGGACTCGTTTTTACTGTGGGAACATATACTTTTGTACCTGTTTCCTCCAGCATCCTCACAAGGTCCTTTGCTGTTGTTCTGGGATTGATTTGCACTTTTCGCACCAAAGTACGTTCATCTCTAGGAGACAGAACACGTCTCCTTCCTGAGCGGTATGACGGCTGTGTGGTCCCATGGTGTTTATACTTGCGCACTATTGTTTGTACAGATGAACGTGGTACCTTCAGGTGTTTGGAAATTGCTCCCAAGGATGAACCAGACTTGGGGAGGTCTACAATTTTCTTTTTAAGGTCTTGGCTGATTTCTTTAGATTTTCTCATGATGTCAAGCAAAGAGGCACTGAGTTTGAAGGTAGGCCTTGAAATACATCCACAGGTACACCTCCAATTGACTCAAATTATGTCAATTAGCCTATCAGAAGCTTCTAAAGCCATGACATCATTTTCTGGAATTTTCCAAGCTGTTTAAAGGCACAGTCAACTTAGTGTATGTAAACTTCTGACCCACTGGAATTGTGATACAGTGAATTATAAGTGAAATAATGTGTCTGTAAACAATTGTTGGAGAAATTACTTGTGTCATGCACAAAGTAGATGTCCTAACCGACTTGCCAAAACTATAGTTTGTTAACAAGAAATGTGTGGTATGTAAACTTCTGACTTCAACTGTGTGTGTATGTATATATATATATATATATATATATATACATACAGTGGGGAAAAAAAGTATTTAGTCAGCCACCAATTGTGCAAGTTCTCCCACTTAAAAAGATGAGAGAGGCCTGTAATTTTCATCATAGGTACACGTCAAACATGACAGACAAAATGAGGAAAAAAAATCCAGAAAATCACATTGTTGGATTTTTTATGAATTTATTTGCAAATTATGGTGGAAAATAAGTATTTGGTCAATAACAAAAGTTTCTCAATACTTTGTTATATACCCTTTGTTGGCAATGACACAGGTCAAACGTTTTCTGTAAGTCTTCACAAGGTTTTCACACACTGTTGCTGGTATTTTGGCCCATTCCTCCATGCAGATCTCCTCTAGAGCAGTGATGTTTTGGGGCTGTCGCTGGGCAACACGGACTTTCAACTCCCTCCAAAGATTTTCTATGGGGTTGAGATCTGGAGACTGGCTAGGCCACTCCAGGACCTTGAAATGCTTCTTACAAAGCCACTCCTTCGTTGCCCGGGCGGTGTGTTTGGGATCATTGTCATGCTGATAGACCCAGCCACGTTTCATCTTCAATGCCCTTGCTGATGGAAGGAGGTTTTCACTCAAAATCTCACGATACATGGCCCCATTCATTCTTTCCTTTACACGGATCAGTCGTCCTGGTCCCTTTGCAGAAAAACTGCCCCAAAGCATGATGTTTCCACCCTCATGCTTCACAGTAGGTATGGTGTTCTTTGGATGCAACTCAGCATTCTTTGTCCTCCAAACACGACGAGTTGAGTTTTTACCAAAAAGTTCTATTTTGGTTTCATCTGACCATATGACATTCTCCCAATCCTCTTCTGGATCATCCAAATGCACTCTAGCAAACTTCAGACGGGCCTGGACATGCACTGGCTTAAGCAGGGGGACACGTCTCGTACTGCAGGATTTGAGTCCCTGGCTGCGTAGTGTGTTACTGATGGTAGGCTTTGTTACTTTGGTCCCAGCTCTCTGCAGGTCATTCACTAGGTCCCCCCGTGTGGTTCTGGGATTTTTGCTCACCGTTCTTGTGATCATTTTGACCCCACGGGGTGAGATCTTGCGTGGCGCCCCAGATCGAGGGAGATTATCAGTGGTCTTGTATGTCTTCCATTTCCTAATAATTGCTCCCACAGTTGATTTCTTCAAGCCAAGCTGCTTACCTATTGCAGATTCAGTCTTCCCAGCCTGGTGCAGGTCTACAATTTTGTTTCTGGTGTCCTTTGACAGCTCTTTGGTCTTGGCCATAGTGGAGTTTGGAGTGTGACTGTTTGAGGTTGTGGACAGGTGTCTTTTATACTGAGAACAAGTTCAAACAGGTGCCATTAATACAGGTAACGAGTGGAGGACAGAGGAACCTCTTAAAGAAGAAGTTACAGGTCTGTGAGAGCCAGAAATCTTGCTTGTTTGTACGTGACCAAATACTTATTTTCCACCATAATTTGCAAATAAATTCATAAAAAATCCTCAATGTGATTTTCTGGATTTTCTTTTCTCAATTTGTCTGTCATAGTTGACGTGTACATATGATGAAAATTACAGGCCTCTCTCATCTTTTTAAGTGGGAGAACTTGCACAATTGGTGGCTGACTAAATACTTTTTTTACCCACTGTGTATATATATATATATATATAGTGGCGTACAGCAGGTCAGCCACCAGGGGGAGACTTGTCGAGGCCTGGTAACAGATGGGAGTATACATCACGAGGCGGTGGCTCCATCTGCTGGACGTGCCAGGTCTTGACGGGCTCCCGGGACAGAATTAATTGGGGCTGATTGGGAGCTGGTGAGAATTAAGAGCGGATTTCTCACCAGCTGTGCAAGGCCCATAAAGCTGCCAGAAGGGCAGCACATGGGCGAAGTAAGGTAACTTCCGTGTAGTTGGAGACGGTATCCTGGAGAGGATCTCATGGAGGAGACCTACATTTTCTTTTGATTATTTTATTAATAAACACCCTTGAAACCGAGCTACTCATACTCTGTCCATGTCTGATCTGTGTAAACGTCTTGACCCAAACCCCTTGATCTGCCACAATATATACATTCTTTATAAAAAATGTAGTTATTTGTTACATTTGACTGTGTAAAACCTAGCTGTACTACTTATTTCTCTGAAAGTGAGGCGGATATATAGTGTTTGACAAAAACACATGATTATTTGTCTCTCTGAAATGAAACCATCAAGTGAAAGATTTTAAACAAATACATGCTTGTCATTGAACAATCCCATGCCGTGATTAGATAGTGAAAAAACGCACCCAATCTCTTTCATAATTTCTTTAAACAATAAAAGCTAATTTAACATTTCTGAAAATGGATATATTTAGCGTTTTGGAATGAATTTCTTCAAATACTGATGGTTTGTTTCGTAAAAAGGAAAGCACTTTACCAGTCCTCTGCTCTCAAATGTAGATCCACCATGTCCTGTGAAGGGGTAGTGTCCATGTAAATCATATGGGCTTTATAAACACTGTTCATCAATAATCTTTCCTTGGCACTTTATGCACACACTAGAAGGGTGCAAAGACTAAAATTAGGTATACTGTACCTCTCCCACAGGTAAAGATACTTTGAAATCATTACTGGCTGGAAGGTGCAGGAGTGGAACAGCAGATAAGCCAGTGACATTTGGATCTACCTCACCCAATTTACCCTGGGGATACAAAAAATATGATTGTGGAATTAAAAAACATAATATGGAACTCATATGGAAGATATTGGTAAAGTAAAGGATCCGTTAACCGTACCGTCACGCAAAGCTCTGTCTCCAGGTCTCTGTTGATGTAGTAGCGCAGGGTTTTGGTCAGGTTGGACGTTTTCTCAGGAGCAAGAATCTTATGCTCTTCTGGAAAGGCCCCACACAGTTTCAGGACCACATTCTGCTCCACTAGAACAATAACAACATAGATGTGGTTGCTCAGTTCAGTGCTCTATGAATATACTGTGTAGACCAGTCTGATTCTGCTCACACTGACACAGACAAACAGATAGACAGACAAACAGACAGAGAAACATACAATACATACATTGGGATGTATTTAGAGAATAAGTGGCCCCTTATGATCACTCTACTAGACAGGACTAAACAGAGGGGAGCAACTGGTTAAGGAAGAATGCAAATAATAGTAAAGGAGTGGACATCCCCCAGGCATGTCCTCACACTAAACAGACAAAACTAGTTCAAACCAGAAACTGATGACTCATGACGACTCATGACGACATTGCAAGCAATTTTGCACCAGGGGTAGTGTTTAGACTGATAGAACTTTCTTCTTTAATTTTGCAAACATTTTATGGGTCAAGTAAAGGTCAAACTATGTTCAACAGGCACCTGGAGAAATAAGCAGACCTGATACAGTAGATAATAATTTTGAATGCTACTCACTGGCAGTGGTCATCAGCTTTTCTACATTCACATCCACAGTAGAGAATGGGGAGGCCTAGGACAAAGTATACTACAATAATCATCTTATAGAATAGCCTTCTGTTCATGGGTGTGAATTATTTGCCTTAATTCTGTACAGCATTACATTACACGTACAGTTAATTCAGAAGGTATTCACACCCCTTGACTTATTCCACATTTTGTTGTGTTACAAAAAACATTTTTTTAACGTTCTACACAAACTACTCTGTAATGTCAAAGTGGAAGAAAAATTCCAAATTTTTAAAAATATTTATGAAAAATAAAACACTAATATATCTTGATTAGATAAGTATTCAAGTCCCTGAGTCAATACATGTTATAATCACCTTTGCTAGCGATTACAGCTGTGAGTCTTTTGGGGTAAGTCTCTAAGTGCTCTGCGCACCTGGATTGTACAATATTGCCCATTATTCTTTTTTAAACTCTTCAAGCTCTGTCAAGATGGTTGTGATCATTGCTAGACAGCCATTTTCAAGTCTTGCCTGTTACAGGAGGGGGTCGCAGTTCCGGAGCGACCCACTAGGTGTCATCCAACCTCCTCACTCACAGTCTGGACTAATCATGATCCTATTGGTGTCACCTGTGTCTACCTGTTCACCTGTGTATTTATGCACTCACTTCCCTGTGTTCCCTTGCTCAGTTTTCTCTGCTAGTTTCACTATGCCAAGTGGTCAGCTCTATTCAGTTTATTTTTATCCCCCCCCAAAAAAACTCCCTAGTTCTTGCCGATGACAAGCATATCCATAACATGAAGCAGCCACCACCATGCTTGAAAATATGAAGAGTGGTACTTAATGATGTGTTGTGATGTGTTTGCCCCAAACATAATGCTTTGTATTCAGGACAAAAAGTTAATTTCTTTGCCACATTTTTTGCATTATTACTTTAGTGCCTTATTGCAAACAGGATGTATGTTTTGGAATATTTGTATTCTGTACACTGTATTCTTTTCACTCTGTCATTTAGGTTAGTATTGTGGAGTAACTACAATGTTGTTGATCCATCCTCAGTTTTCTCCTATCACAGCCATTAAACTCTGGAACTGTTTTAAAATCACCATTGTCCTCATGATGAAATTCCTGAGCGGTTTCCTTCCTCTCTGGCAACTGAGTTAGGAAGGACGCCTGTATATTTGTAGTGACTGGGTGTATTGATACACCATCCAAAGCATAATTAATAACTTCACCATGCTCAAACGAATATTCAGTGTCTGTTTTTTTAAATGTTTTACCCATCTACCAATAGGTGCCCTTCTTTGCGACGCATTGGAAAACCTCCCTGGTCTTTGTGGTTGAATCTGCACTTGAAATTCACTACTTGACTGAAGGACCTTAAAGATAATTGCATGTGTGGGGTAATCATTCAATAATCATGTTAACTACTATTATTGCACATAGAGTGAGTCCATGCAACTTATTATGTGACTTGTTAAGCACATTTTTACTCCTGAACTTATTTAGGCTTGCCATAACAAAGGGGTTGAATACTTAATGACTTAAGACATTTCAGCTTTATATTTTGTATTAATTTGTCAAAATTGTCGGGAATTGTGGGGTATTGTGTGTAGATCAGTGGCACAAAATCTCAATTTAATCCATTTTAAATTCAGGCTGTAACACAACAAAATGTGGAAAAAGGGGGGTGAATCATTTGTTGGTTCTCATAGCACATTGTTATGTCCTGTCATTATTGACCTCATCATTATCCATATCTGACCATCCTTGTGATGTTGACTTTGCCTCAGAATGATCAGCAAACCAAATGAATACCTTTACCACTAGGACACCATTAGAGAGATACTCGCCAGCAGGCTCTTTACTGCAAACAGGGAACACAAGAAACACAAACTTTTTTTCAGTCATGGAAGTAATTCCCTTTAAAAAATCAAAATTACGTGAAAAAAAAACAGGGTGTTTAAAACAGCAATCCTTAATTGAAACATTAACAAAGTGTTCTCCCCTCTAGTTTCGGTAAAAAGCTGAGGGATGGGGCTGGAAAATTGCAACCACTCTCAAATCCAAAGATTACAGGGTTCCCCAATAGGCGGCCCGCTGTCCAAATTCGTCCCTGTCACGCCCTGGCTCTGGGGACACTTGTATGTTGAGTCAGGGTGTGAGTTTCCTTTGTCTGTTCTAGTTGTTGGTTTTCTATGCTGACCAGAGTGGTTCTCAATCAGAGGCAACTAGTGTCAGCTGTTGCTGGTTGTCTCTGATTGGGAACCATATTTATTCAGTCTGTTTGCCACAGTGGTTTGTGGGATCTTGTTTCCAGTGTGGTTTGTGTTAGACCGAGGACGTCACGTTATCGTTTGTTGTTTTTTTGTTCGTGTAAATAAAGAAGTATGTTCGCATTGGTCCTCTGTTCCCGACGATCGTGACAGAAGATCCCACCAAGACTGGACCAAGCAGTGTGTCCAGGAGCCATCGCCAGGGAGATCTCTAGCGGATCTCCTTCGCCTCCTCGACTGGGTCAAGCCGTGTGAGGAAGAGAGGGGCTTGACTTGGAAGCAGAAGGGCGAGAGGTGGGCGAGAACCATGGAGGCCTGGTCCACGGGGGAGAGACAAGCCCAGAAATGTTTTAGGGGGGGGGCTCACGCCGTGGACGACGGGGCAGCAGGAGGCCGCGATAGAGCGGTCCAGCGGGTTGGCAGAGGAGGCCGCCAGGTTACGGGGGCCACTGGTCACAAAGGGGAAGGAAAGTGTAGAGGCACGGCGAGAGGTACTGGGGTGTGTTACCAGTCCGGTCCAGCCCGTTCCTGATCCCCGCGTAGGGCCAGTGGTGTGTGTCCCCAGTACGGTCTGGCCTGTTCCTGTTCCTCGCATCGAGCCTGTGGTGCGCGTCGCCAGCCCGGTCCGGCCTGTTCCTGCTCCCCGCATCGAGCCTGTGGTGCGCGTCGCCAGCCCGGTCCGGCCTGTTCCTGCTCCCCGCACCAAGCCTATGGTGCGCGTCGCCAGCCCGGCCCGGCCTGTTCCTGCTCCCCGCACCAAGCCTATGGTGCGCGTCGCCAGCCCGGCCCGGCCTGTTCCTGCTCCCCGCACCAAGCCAATGGTGCGCGTCGCCAGCCCGGCCCGGCCTGTTCCTGCTCCCCGCACCAAGCCTATGGTGCGCATCGCCAGCCCAGCCCGGCCTGTTCCTGCTCCCCGCACCAGGCCAATGGTGCGCGTCGCCAGCCCGGTCCGGCCCGCTCCTGCTCCCCGCACCAAGCCAATGGTGCGCGTCGCCAGCCCGGTCCGGCCCGCTCCTGCTCCCCGCACCAAGCCTATGGTGAGCGACGCCAGCCCGGTCCGGCCCGTTCCTGCTCCCCACACCAAGCCAGTGGTGTGCGTCGTCAGTCCGGCACGGCCCGTGCCTGTTCCACCGGTGCCTGGTCCGGCACCGGTCAGCTGCTCCACACCGGAGCTAGAGCAATCCGCTCCACCAGTGTGCAGTCCAGCTCCGGCCAGCGGGGCCAGACCGGACCAGGGGTACTTTGGGGGGTTGGAGAGGGAGTGGGGATCAGGCCCGGAGCCGGATCCGCCGCCAAGGCGGAGTGCCCACCCGGTCCCTCCCCTGTGGTATTTGGTTGGCGCGGTCGGAGTCCGCGCCTTTAGGGGGGGGTACTGTCACGCCCTGGCTCTGGGGACACTTGTATGTTGAGTCAGGGTGTGAGTTTCCTTTGTCTGTTCTAGTTGTTGGTTTTCTATGTTGACCAGAGTGGTTCTCAATCAGAGGCAACTAGTGTCAGCTGTTGCTGGTTGTCTCTGATTGGGAACCATATTTATTCAGTCTGTTTGCCACAGTGGTTTGTGGGATCTTGTTTCCAGTGTGGTTTGTGTTAGAACGAGGACGTCACGTTATCGTTTGTTGTTTTTTGTTCGTGTAAATAAAGAAGTATGTTCGCATTCAACGCTGCGCCTTGGTCCTCTGTTCCCGACGATCGTGACAGTCCCACAGGTGATATTATTTGTTTTGTATTTATTTTTGTTGTTGGACATAAAAGACTGTAAAATCACCAGGAAATTAAATTGCCATCAGCTCAAAGTGATTTTAATTGATGAAATCTGTTCCCAAGTAATGGAGAGGCATATGTGTTTGTATCCCAATGTAATTAAGGTTAGAAATTGTTCTGTTTTTTAAAATTATTCTGTCAATTTGCAGTGTACACGTTATTTATAACTATGTTCCAGCCTCCGCTCAAGGAAAAATTGGCCCACAGCTGAATTTAATTGAGGACCCCTCGACTACGCTATGGATGCAAGGACTGACCATCCATGATATCAGAATTAGAGTTTTAACAATGTAATTAGTCTATACAGTGTTTGTTTACATTTACTTTGTTTACTAATATTGGAGACAGGTAGCCTAGCGCAGGGGTCTCCAACCTTTTATAGCATGAGAGCTACTTTTAAAAAATGAAACGTGTCGCGAGCTACTCATTTCTTTCTAGCTTTCTTCTCCTCTCCCCTGCAACGCTTCCTC